TTTTTTTTTTTTTTTTTTTTTTTTTTTTTTTTTTGGACCATTTCTTGATTTATGCGTGTCATCCTTGCGCAGGGGCCATTTGCTAAATTACCCTTCTCTGTATCGTTCCAATTGTAACGGATGTCCCGAAGGATGCTTTCTGTCAGATGGTAATGACATCCAAGTATTCCTTTTGAGCTCATTCTCTGTGTACTACTCTTCTTGACATCCAAACATTTTTTTCCTACCGAATCTGACCGCAGTTGTGGTCAGATACTTGCAGAAGGACATGCTTTGGCAATCAGCGAGAATGAGGGATCGTAAGGACCGTTTTTTTTTCCTGGCATTGCTCTCAGCGTTGAGGAAATGCTCGGCTGTCGACGTACAGTTCACCGTTGCTGTCATTATCTTCCTTTGGATCTCCCTTGCTGTTGCACGGGCCGAAATCAACGGCTCTGATCTGTTGATGTTGTTGCCTCCTCAAGGCCTCATGATGCCTGCGGAGAGCCCTGCTGAGACAGACCCCCCATTTGCCACAGACCTTCCCGCAACCAATCGGACACTAAGCCAGATCGATCTAGCACCATCGTACACCTTCCAGGTGGCAGAGGCCCCAGTTCCGACACCGTCCCTCATCTCCTCCCCTGTGCTAGGCAGAGAAATGGCCAGACATTCTGGGCCGCGATGGCAGAAACCTGAGCCACCACGTCCATCCGCACAACAGGTAACCGAAGACGCCGCCTACAAGCCTGCACTGCTGTTCAATTCCTCAAAGTATAAGACGAAGAAAGGAGGATTTCACCATGCAAACGAGGATGATGATGAAGACAACCCAACGGGATATGCAGGCCCTGGCAGCCCGCCACGACCGCCACTCCCGCTGCCATCGCCACCACTGCTGCCGGGCCCACCTCCGCCGGAAGAAGAAGGCGGAGGAGAAACGGGCGACGACGGTTCCGATATGTGGAAACAGCCACCTCCTGCAGGGGAGGGGACAGGTGGAGAGTCAGACTATGGCGGTGGCAGTGATGGCACTCCGGGTAGCGGTGGAGATGATGGGAATGTGGTGCTCCCTCACACCTGCCCCATTGACTGGAACAATGTGCCAGCCAAGGTGGACGCCACTGGCAAGAATAAAGTCCATTTGACTGGGCTGCAGGCATGTGAATGTGACCTGACGGCCATCGGCTGCGACCCGAATTGCTGCTGTGACACCCAGGACTGCAGGAAGACAGAAACCGCATTGTTCACAGGGTGCTTGCCTGAGGGGCGCCCTCCCCCAGCCCTCCACTACTGCCTTCCCAGGTCTTCGGTCGCAAAGGTCAACCTCAAACACTCAGGAGGCCTCGCAGTGGTTCGCTCGGTGTCGCCTAGCGGTGGATTGATCAGCAACCAGTTCTGCATTGCTAGAGACAATAACCCTGAGCTGGGCCACTTCTTCCTCGACCCTCCGCCCGCCGATTCCGAGGCCATGGAGTATGCCATCGCCTCGTCCCCGGTGTACAGTTCGTTCTGGCGTGCACCGGCGAGGACCGTGAAGTCGTCAACCACCATCGAGTTGAGAGTGAATGACAGTATCCCAGCTGCACACATGGCGGAGTCGACGCGTGGTGGGGCTCGGCTCATGCCGGCCAACAACTGGGGTGTTTGGGCTCTTCCTTCTTCGCTTGCCAGCGGGTACTGCAGCCCGGTCCATCCTGTGGGCTTCCTCAACGATGTCGAAACTTCTTGCACCATCGCTACTACGGCTGCTAACCTACCGTTTGCTTGCACCAAATTTCTCGACGGCAGCCACTTTGTCCGGACCCTGTGGATCGGCAGGAACGGCCAGGCCTGGCCACCGAACCAGGACAGGTTTGTGCCAGTTCAGCTAATTCGGGTATTGCAGTTACATCCGGCGACAGGTGATCTCATAACTGTGAATGTGGGCTCCTTTGCCAACTCTTTCCCTTCATCTGTCTACGAAGCAGGGTCGTCAACCTGCCGGAACAGTCTTGCCGAGGCAGCATACAGGGTGATACATGATGGGGCGGGCAGTGTGGTCGGCGTGGATGCAACCTTGACTGTAACCGAGGTGCAGGCAAACATTTATGGACTGGTTGTTGCTCCGCAGCGATTCTCCGTTAAGTTTTATCGACAAGGGACTGTTGATCTTGTTCGTCCCAGAAGTGGGAACCCGGGCTACCGACACGGCCTACCGGTCCTAGCAGGGGTCAGAACGGACAACGCCCAGACAAAGAAAGTTGCAGTAGCGTGTTTTGTGGATGGACTTCCCATACCAAAAGGAAACCCTGTCACTGGCCTTTGCTCCCCAAGTCAACGGACGCATGTGAAGTTTGGTGGGAACGCAATGGTGTCATGTAGCATTTCCATGACGAGAGCACAACTCCGTGACTTCTGCTCCGGAGCCATTGGCTCAGCGATCCCATCCAGACCAGCCATCTCCATCCAGCTCCTTACCGGGCTTCTCTCCTCCACAGGGCCAAGAATCCTTGTTGGTAGATGGGGAAGCTCGGACCCGAACAACGTGGACGAGTGGTTGGACCTGGTGGTGGTCCCCACTCAAGATGTCATGAAGTGGAGCGAGGAAATGTCTACTTGCTCGCAATTGGTCTCCGGACTAAGGTACCAGTTCTTGCTTTCCAAGGTAGGACAGGCCGACTACCCACAGCTTCAGATATCGTTTGCGCGCGTGGAGCCTATATATGCCGACTGGACTTTCAAGCTGACCGAGAGCAGCGATCTAGATCTCAGCAGACTTTTCATGCTTGAGCACTATGTTGAGTTTCTGAAGATGAAACAAAGTCATCCAAAGCCGCTGAAACCTAGCTCCCCACCGTTGCTGCCTGCCCTTCCTGACGACCTCTTCTACCCATTTTATATTGGGCAGACACCTGTTGTTTCTCTCTCTTTGCGCCGCTGCTACCCCACTTGCTCCTTCTTCCCCTCCATTCTTGCGCTTGTCTGGGTACTATGCTTGACTGGTCAGTTGGCCAGACTCTGAGAGGTAACTGTTTACATCTTGTCAGCACCTCGCTGACCACAGCGACAATGTATCTCCTCTGTCTATCTGTCCGTCAAACTGTCTGTCTGTCTGTCTGTCACTCAGGGTTGGCTGGATGCGGTTTTTTTTTCCGTTTGAAACGTGTATGGACGTGGCAGGTTTTGAGTTCGCAGATGAGAGAAAAAAAACACGCGCCTGCGAAGAATGCACCCCCCCGAGTCGGAAAATGTTATTCGGGTAGAAAGGATCTGTTGGGTCTTTTCTGTTTTTTTTTTTTTTTTTTTTTTTTCC